GGAATTCTGTTTTGGCCTGGATCGTGCGACCTAGCCTTGTTGTGCTCGCTCTTCACAATTATCTCAGTTTTTAAATAATGAACCAATTTGGTAGTGTTTTAGATGGAAACATTTCACGATAATCTTCATGCATAACGGGTCAAAAGGAAACTAGACTCGGACAAAAATCGTTCGCATTTTTGCGCTAGGTTTGGTAAATGATACACATATAAAGGAACATTCTCAGAGGGCAACATGCTGCAAGGAAGATTTAAGAAAACAGAATTTGATGTGAGTAACGGAGGGTTTGATTCAATTTCAAAGGGGAACTTCGTCGTGTATATGTCGAATAAAGCGTATAATGAAAGCTAGGAAGCACTGGACAGTTGTTTTGACGCGATTGGGTCTCATCAGCAGTGCAAATCTATCGACCCAATTGGGGATCGAACCCGGGACCTCATGGGCAGAACGCAAGCATGTTACCCATTCGGTCACCGGGCAGCTGAACAGACCGTTTTTCATTTTCCATTCACACGATATGGCATAGAACATCTTTGTGAGCTTGTTGCAGGCAACAGACCTCGCTCATCTCAGCACTAGCCAGGTCGAAACAGCTGTCCAGTGCTTCCTAGCATTTTAGTCCACTCTTCATTTGACATATAGACGACGAATGTCCCCTTTGAAATTGAACGAAATCCTCCAAAACTCACAGAATTTTATACGAAAACATAGAAGGTATATATATACATATATATGTATATATATAGAAGGTATATATCTATGCCAAAGGGACGCAGCAATCGCCAATAACTATATTCCCAAACGTAACGCAGTGCGATCCAAGTGGATCACTCATCTTTTGGATCTAATGTGGAAGTCGTATTGAAACTAGATGACCTAAAAATTCAATCGTAGTTTTCTGGAGATTTAGAAATATTACAAATGAATAACTCTAAGGTGAAATGAAGATTCATAAAATTGGTTCAACGAATACGGGGCAAATGGACTTTGGTTAAGGTTTACATGTGTACAAAGATGAGCATTCAACGTTTTCATCACCACTGACTATATGATGAACTTCTGATAACTCATTCGTGAATTCTTCCCCCCCCCCCTTCCTCTCCCAAACGACTGAATTAAAGGCATTCCACACAGATGATGGGGTCTGCGGTAAATTCAGTTTTCGAAGAAAAGATGTAAATTTAAGATAATCTTTTGGATAATGTATCAAACAGTCCGGAAATCATACGACATCTATATCTCGCATCAACTGTATATATTTTAAAAAAATCAAGAAACTTGTTGGTTCAATAGCATGCATACATTTGAACTAATTAGAACAAGATATCGGATCACGTTTAACACGCCAGCATTATTTGTTAGAGGTTTGAAATTGATTCTTTCAAACGTGGAACACAGCATACATATAGTGAACTATTTGCAAAATCAGGAGAGTGTGAGCCTCAGACAATCAAAAGAATATAAATGGTGAAGCTGTGCTGACCTGGAAATTCGTAATCCGAGATTCAGTACGGACCATCTGATGCAAAAGTGAAAACTAAGGTAGCTGCACAAAAACTGAGAACCACTTTGTTCATCATCAAACCAAAAGGCGTATTGAGGGAACTGATATGACCGTATACTGAGAGTTATGTTTTCTTTAAATGTGATTGCGATGAAAGCCGATGCCATTGGTCGAGAAGGTTTGGTGGTTGTACTATCAAATTTGGAGACCCCAATCACCCCCAAAAGCGATTTGAAATGCGAGTTCTCTCAATGAAGCTGAGATTGATGCATTGAGTTTGTGCTATCTTTTGATCACATGAAATTTAATAATATGTCCATCAATTTTTATGTCTATCCACCTTATTTGATCAACGTCTATGATCAAACTAGTTACTTAAATCACATTCTCCTTCTGGACCTAACCGCGCCCAACCACAAATGCAGAGACAAGTTTTCATTTGCCTGATTTCCGCTGAAGAACGAGGGGACGCAGGTAAGCAAGTTATTACACGGGATTCCGAGTCAAAGAACTGTGTCTCAAGTGCACTTCTGTGCCAACGAAAAACAGACACAAATCCGCATTATTTGTTCCTTACAAACATAATGTCTAGTCTCTCGTGTGTGTCTGTGTGTGGCGTATTGTGCAAATAGGGAGTGGCTTTGTCCGCAATTTGAATCCGTGTTTTGGCGGGAAACGAAGAGCTACACAAATATTTTCATCATAGTTCACACCGAGCTTGCTGTGGCGGTTTGTGCTCATCTCGAAAATGGACGAGTCGAAATGAACGAGCTAATTTGCAGCGCGGTGTGTAAGTCCAAGTTATGCTTCAGTTCTATCTATGGAATCCAGGAGTCAGCTCCAATTCGGATTCGCACTCCATTGATGCAAACCTACCACACTGAAATAACTTCACAATGTTTTTACATATCCGTTCAGGTTTCCTTTGCTTTGCATAAGATAAACTCAATTGTGACATACATGTTGCACAAGTATTTAGATGTCGCCAAACTGAACTATGGAAATCCGATGGTAAATTTCCTGAAATCCTAATTCTATGAAGAAGTCTCCTCACTTCGATATTTCTACGCCCACGGAATATTTCTGTTTGGTACAGCACTTTAATACAAATCAGATTGTTCAGTAAATTCGTCGTCATGCGTTGATAGTCACAGTTTAGTGACAAATTACGCTGAAATATTGGTTGGTGAGTTGATTAGAAATAAGTGGCGTAATGTTATTCATTAAATGAATGAATGAATGAATGAATAAACCAGAGGGTTATACNCGGGGGGGGAGGGGGTGAACCGGAATGGTGGAGGTTTCAGAGATCATCCGTTTGACTTCATCATCGTATCGCGGTAAGATTTATTCTCTATGTGAAGGTCTACTCAGTACCAGGGTGACTGCATAGCTTTGACTGGAATTTTTCTTTGCTCACAGCAACGGATTTAGCGATTATTGTCCCCATTGCTAAACGGCATTAATGTATGGAATTTGATCTAATCGGTGGTAGTCGGGAGATGGCTTTTATGCAGTCGTTGTCACCTTGATGACACGTTACAGTGAGATGGACTACGACTGCATTTATCGATGTCTTCATGAATTCAGTGCGAAGCCAGACGGGTTTGTAGTGTTTGATGCATGCTTGACGTTTATGTTGTTTTCTCCATCATTCGGTTTTATTCATGCTGACAACTGTCGTGTCCGTTTGATTCACAGCAGATTCTTGGTCACCTTCATGTGTGCACCAAGTGATTACGAGCATGTTTGAATATACTTTAAGCGTACATATGCCATAATCGAATTTAAAGGGGCAGAATACACCATCATTGGATTGGTTTTGCCTTGTTGCATATATAGTCATTAATGCAAGTGTTTCATAACCATGGAGGGCTGCAATCGCGACGTTCCGAAATCGGAGCATAAACACCTACCAAACAGTCGGACGATACAAATGCATTTGCCTTCGAGATGAAAAAGGAAAGAAATCACTAACTATAGCTTTAAATAGAATGAGTCATTAGGACAGTATTTATTATGATAAATTGCGATATATGTAGAACAAATAAAGCGCGAACTGAAAAATCCAGGGCACATTGGACAGGTTTTTTTGACTTGGTTGGAGCTCCCAGGCATATGGAACTCATTAAACAAACTGATGACCATAAACTGGACCTCGCAAGTAAAACACCGAAATACTATGCCATTGACCAATGGATAGTTGATCGTTTGACAGTTGTCTGAAATCCCAACGGCCTGTTGCGTTGTTTATTAGGGTGTGTAACTACTTTTCCCACACGCCTTTTAGTCACTGGTGACAATGAGAAGAGTTAAAATCTGGTTTTTGGCTACATCTTCATCTTCCTACTTCCATTTTTGTACCGGCTCTGAACTGTGAACTGGAACACGGTGATCTCGGTTTTTATTACGCTGACCATATTCTGTTTGGTTGAAGTGATTACTTCATCGGATTTATCCCGGAAAAATCAACTCGTAATTTTTGCATTGATTCTCTAGAATTACTTAGTGATAAGAAACTGGATGTCCTCACTGTGGGAGTTGCTTGGTTCACCATGCTCCATCCCTTTTCATTGGTGACAGCTAAGTCGTCAATAAAAATAATACAGGAAGTCGTTTTTTCGCAAATGCGTCTCGCCTGCTTGGAATGTTCTAGCTCAATATCTTTTCAAACAGAGTCAGCTGTAGTTTTGGATCACGCTAAATCGTCCAGAAGGGCATCTTATCTTCATAACTAGCATCTCCAGTTTATCGCTATCTTAAATTGGTATTCCTAATATGGATTCATGGGATGTTTACACTTTAAGTTGTTTCAGTTCTAAGAAAACACAAATTAGTTCTAAGTTCATTGGAAACGCTCACCTGCTAAATAGCATTACAGCGTTCACATGCATACGCAATTCCGAAGCAAAAATACTGAGGTGCCAGAATACAAAGCATAAATGGGTGACTAATTTATTGGAGTTCATATAGCCGCGAACCACTCATAGCCATATGCACCAACTTCTCCAGTCAATCGGCCTTTTTATTTCATAGCATGTCCTTTGCGTTAGTCGACATGATCTGCTGGAACTCATGGATCTAAAAAAAACGATTTATATTATTAGCTTGCAATCAAGCAGACTGCAATAAACCAAGAATTGTAACCATATTTCTTAATCATTACTGGTGAGATGTCAGTTTTCCGGGTCAGATCACGTTTTTCGGACCAATCAGAACAGAGACTGATTCTCACATTTGATTGGCCAAGTTTTGGCTGTTAATGACAATCATGCACGTTCGGACGCACGGACGCACTCACACATAAATGACCAGTTGCGTGCAGTTCGCTGTACCGCTATTTGCTTACCCTTCATCTTTGACCACACCTCTAATTCAAACAACTCAGTCAGTCATCAGACAATGCTGCTAACGCCCGTTTTTGAGATCATGTACACTTCACTGTGCTAAACACAATTAGATACCGCGTGGCGATAGAGCAAGAAAGATAGAGATAATGAACACTGAATCACAATTTAGTAATCTGCATGCTGATCTGATTCGACTGCTTCCAGTGGACACAGCGAACCGCCTAGATCCGGATTGCTTTTCTCGGTATCGATATGACTGTTTAGAACTACTGGCCGATCTGTTGAACAAAACCCGATTGTCCTCGAATCACACTGTGAACCCGTTCACATTTCCTCATTTCGATCACATGTGTCACGATGACAAACCACAGGCCTGGGTCACCGAACGTGCCTATGTGGTCGCCCTGACCATGGCCGTGTTAGGCTGTGTCGGTCTAACTGGGAATATCATCAGTTGCGTGGTGATTGCTATTCACCTACTCAAATTCTCCGGGACATTTGTTCTATTCCTATTTCTCTCTGTGTCCGATTCGCTTGTGGTTGTCATGCAAATTGTCGATGCATATCGAAATTTCGTCGCAGTTAGTCAGTACACCACACTGGACTCGGAAACCGAACTGACCACGATCATGATTCATCGACGGGACTGGAGCTGTAAGATTTTCCTATTTTTCTGGCATTTTGCTCTTCAACTATCAGCGTGGCTTGTGATGGCTCTCAGTGTGGACCGATATGCCAGTTTGAAACACAATCAATTCATTCGCAGCCGACCATTCCTCTACCGTCGTGCTTGGATCATTGTTGGGTCAATTGTAACTGTACTGTTTCTGTTGAATTTGCCGTTTCTTCTTTTTGTGAAATCCACCGTAATTAAAACACATTGCGCGGTAAGTTAAAATTATCTGGCAAATCGGTGTTTGTCATTATTATTGAACGTGTGTGTTTCATTGTCGCGTTTAAACGCCTGGTTATTCGAGTAGATCGGTAGGCATTTTAAACACCCTTCCTCACCCGTTAATCGAAACTGACACATAAATCGATCACACTTGTTTCAACAGTAATGCAAGGGGAGTTGTGTAAGGCGTTTTCATGTAACACATGTGATGAGGATGCACAAGAAATGATCCGTAACAATAATCAAATATTTGTGCAGTATGTTCACTATAAATATCCCTAAAATTGTGGCACTGTGATTAGGTATACCGTTGACATTCTTCAGTGTTTTTCCAAAGCATTTCTGGCGATTGGTCTCGCATGAATGATTTCGGTTTGATGCACCAGTACGGATTCGTAGGCACCAGATACTGCATGTAATAGAGTTTCTCAGTGTTTCGCCTTCACCGGAGGTGCATCCTCGACATGTTGACTGTATGGCGGTTTTGATTGAAAACTTTCTGTAATAGCCGATGACAAGCATTGTATAGCAGTTATGTTGGTGATAGTCACCATTATAAGGTATTGTCTGCAGTAAGATTGTTTTATTTCTTCACCGGAATTTGAACAGCTGAAACCCTTCACTCTGAGTCAAACAATTAACAGCCAAATTTGGTGCGCTTCCCATTTTTACTAACACTAGATACAATATGTGGTTGCCTTGTCTCACATGTCGCACATAGATGAATAAATCAATTGCGACAAACAAATTTCATCAATTATTTCCGTACCGCTGTCTGAATAGAGTGAATGCGCTTGAAAATGGTCTGTTTTCCATTGGGTAACAGACACAATGGAAAGTGAACTTTATCTAAAGAGGTTTTGGTTGTACTCTTTGAAGTCTCGCCTATCGTGTCCTATAGATACGAGGGAAAAGTCTAGGCGTACACAAACACACTGGAGCAACGTTCCGCAACTGGCGGAGGAAAATAAGTTTATAAAAACTTCGGAAACAAATTTATTCATTACGGGTCGAGAATCATGTTTGCGAACTAAACAATACACGGTAAAGAACATTTTTTATTCAGTCGAACGGACAGTTGCATGGTCAAAGTAGAATATCCGCATTGAGAAAACAAATCTTTGTACACGTGAACAGGATTGGACGTTGCAATTGTCTGAGAATAAAATTATTCACTGATAATACACAAAACAGAGCCAGGAATAGTTTTACATATGTTTTAATCGTGCTGCTAAGAGTATATGGCTAGACAAAACATTTCAGACGTTTCATTCATTGTTCAGATTGAACGATATTTACCCAGGAGGTCGGAATGGAAAAATATACTGGGACAGTTAGTCTTTTGGAATTAGAAAATGGCTTAATGAATTCTTTCTCAGCTCTGGTTCATACTTTATTCGCCAAGGTTTGGGTTTTGAGTTCCACAAAAAGCTCACACATCGTACGAGTGTTAATCAGTCCTTACAAGGCCGGATTGTCTGTTATACGCATAAACGGATTTTCACAGTAATCAAAATTTATGACACAGTCAAAACCGACTTAGTCAACAGCACATTGGACACAGTGCTTGTGAAATTTTATTAGAAGCAAAATCGTGTGCCATGACGTTTTTTCAGTTTTGTCCACATGATGAATTAATTTTGGGTTAAGTAAAATATAGCATCCCCAGCAAATGTTTATTGCAATTCGGAGTGAACTCTCTCCGGACCCAAGGAGTTCTCATTGATGTTCACTTTGTGGCTTTTGACGTGTTTGATAAAGTTCATCGTCTTTGATGAATGTAAAAGTCCGCATGATTTGCAGCCTGTCCCACATCGCGAGACTCCTTGAAACAGATATACCAAAGTTACATTGTGATACAAGACTGCAGGTGCTTGTGATACTCTCATTCGGAATTCAACGACTCAGAATGGAAATCTTGATCCCATTGTCTTTCGCTCATTTTGGAATGTTTCCGTCGTTGTTCTGGTCACGATGGACACGAGTATTTTTCCTATTCATCTGAAATGATCTTTTGTGACCACCAAGAATCCCCCTCTTAGGAGCACTTTTAGAACCAACAACGAGGTTTCCGTGGCTGCAAATGATATCGGATACGGTCAAACTGTTCAGTTGTCGACATACAACAACAATGATTCATAATGTAAAACGTGCGAACTGTTGTGCCACACTACCAGTTTCATCAGCCAAACAGAATAGCAAATAAGATAATCTTTGTTTTCGGCCTAAAACGTTCAGATCCTAAGTAGAGTTTTAAAATTTGCATCGGTGTTTTAAAGTTGTAATACAAGTAAATGTAATCTTCAATCACTCAGGATTAATGAGTTGAACTCGGTCTAAGGAATAACTGCTTTTATCACAAAGCACTTATCGTATGATAAGGAAATCAACTAAAACTGGTAATATTAGTGTACGCTAGATATACATGTTTACTTTTCAGCGTTTTCGTTGAACACCTAAAAGGAGTGACAAATGGGAATGTGAGAAGTGCGATTTGTTCAAATTGCTTGGATAAAACTCAACTGAAACTGAGTTGATAAAATATACTACAACTTCTAAAGTTGATTAGATTGAGTTTCCATGTAGCAATTGTTCATACAAACGTTCATCGGTGGTTGACGTCTGCATATACCGGCGGTAAAATCAAAATTCTCCATCCACCTTGAAACCTGCTCATTTTATGCGGTTTTTTCAACTCAGTCTGGCGTAGGTTATTCACAGTTTGCTTACAAAAGTACATCTTTCCGAGGTCATAGTTGTTTATCCCTTCGTAATATCAACTCAATGTCAACTGATTGTTTTATGTGTTGTTTAGTCGATGTACTACCACGATGAATAATTGAACTGAGAATATAACGGTAACATGGAAATAGCACAAACTGGTGGAGCGTTTTTTCTCATTTAATTGTTCTCCGTGTGCATCATTCATAAATGTTCACAATGCATCGACTTCATTTGTGGCTTGTCGACATCATGAATACGTTTCCGATGAATATTCAAAATAAAACCCGCTACACCACAAAAATGGGCCGGTGCAAATTATTGGGATCAGACAGATTTTTGTCGTGTCAGCCACATTGGTTGCTGCACAAGAACACGCGAACAGTTTATTCCCGGAAGCGAGTGTATTCGATGACCATCTGTTTTTAAAACTGGACACACTGAACGGATTAGTTTGGGTGTGAATAAGATCCGAGGTTCAGGCGCTTAGTACGGTGTACATCCGATAGACACCGGATGATTGTATTTCGACTATTTAACAATGCTACCTCATACGGATCACTACACTAGACCCTGACTTGTATGTGTAACTCATCTCTGGTTATCCGCAGGTATTTCTGTAGTGAAAAGATGTTTCCATTGTGGCAACGCAGGCATGACATTTTGGAGTTCATCCATTTGAACTAACAGATGGCAAGGAGTGACTGAATTAAATTGAATGGTATACAGCTTAACCAACTGCCAATCTCCAGTAATGGAATCTTATGTTTTCATTCGTCAGCACATCACAAACACCTTTGATCGGAGTCGATTCTATGCATGGGCTCCAACCACAACGTTTTATAACCAGCGAAATGCACTCTGTGTCACGACTTGGGTGCGTTAGTTCAGGTCCCGATGATGCTGTGATCTGATCGTCATTCGAACACTGTAGAAACTCTTGAAGATCTTTTTCTGTTTTAATCAACTTGTCTGGGATGTCACACTCATGTTGCTTTTAGCGTTTTCTGTTGCTAAAATCCGATGCAGAAGGTAATCCTTCCAATCAGATTCCAAAATCAATTTAGTTTAGTGATTGTTCTATGCACGGCTGTAGGCCATTGCTTCATCACGACGTTTCCGCGGCTGTTTATGTTTCTTTAACGAGTGCTGATTATGTTCTTTGAAATATTTAGTCTGTCATCAAATTGGCTCCTAAAAGTTATTTCGGATTCCATGGTCCTACGATGTGATCTAGGATTGAAACTCGTAGTGATTTAAATGGTGTTGGAGACGCCTGATTGCCACTCTATGCAACCGGAAGGATCCAAGATTTGATAAAAACTAGGAACACTAGTGCAACTTTTGCGTGCAAGTTATGCCATTGATAGCTTATTTTCTGAGTCCATTGCTTCTCTAACGGTCAGTATAGTATCTAAGATGTTTTTACTGTAACTTCAGCTTTTCATCTCCTTTCCTGGACGCAGATGGTATAGTCGGGATGCCAATTGTTCCTCGTCAATGAAATCTGTTCAATACGTGTGTCTGTAATCTCAAACAACGCGATCAACCAGTTCTAACTTTGTCATCTTGATAAGATCATTTCTCTCTTTATTTTCTTAAATGAATAAATAGGATTTTAAAGTCTTAAGCTATAGCCCGCAGATTTTGGTCGGGGCGTCCAAATTTCCGTTTAGCGTCGGACCTTGTGATAACTGTATAGATCGTTGTGGTGCCCCTTGGGACCCGCAAAGGTCGCAACGCAATGAGTGCTGTTGTTCCCACCACTTCATTTGTTCTTAATTCGGACACAATGTATTATTATTGATATTGTGTTATTATAAATACCCTTCTTCTTTACCGTCAACACCCACGGGGCATTGGGTGTTTTTTTCTCCATCCCGAGCTAGAGGTTACTTTTTTGTACTCTGTGTGACTCAATAACTGTTTGCTTGCTGCGGTTGAAATTTGATTTCTGTAATATGCAGCTTCTTTTACATCTGAACTGCAGTCTTGTGTGCTGGCACAGTTTGCAGTAATTGAGAGACACAACGACTATGAAACGACCGCAAAAATGAAAACGCTCGTACAAAACAACGAGTTCCGCGATTACAGTGATTTAACGAAAAAGTATATGTGTAGTTGTCGACAACAGACATTGCGCGTTCATTAACACACACGGTTCCCGAACAAATCACTTAGTATTCCATCATATGTCCTGAGTAATTTGTTCAAACGGCAGCCACCCGGTGTGTTTCAACGGCTTTCCGTTCAAACAGTCGTTTGTTGAAA